CTGGCTGGGGAATTCTGGAAGTTGAAGTCCACACAGCTTAAAGCGGCCAAGGTTGAGAAACACTGGTCTAGAAAGATGTATTTCATTTGAGAGGAGGAATGGGGTTTGTGAAGCTGTTGTTTGGGGGAGGTTTATTTGTGGCTGGTTTGCTTTCTTTAGATCAGATAGCGCTGGATCCTAGGAGGGTGAAGAAGAGTTGAGCTTCGACATCATGGCTAGCGGTTCCAGAAATCGAAAGCCAGGATGGAAACAGGTAGCCATGGCATCTCGGTTGAAGAGACCACGGAATGTCGTTCCTTGGCAGAGCAAGGCTGAATGGGACCAAGTGATGGTGGGGCTGTATTGTGAGGACTGCCAGACGCAGCAAGATGCACTGGACAGAGTGTCTGTCTGGAAGAGCAGGTGAGAAGGACATGGAAGAAAACAGGCTGCAACCACTGGAGGGCTGTGTTTTCTCAGCACTCGGAGATCAGTTAGTGCCCCGGTAGTTCCATTTGCATACATATTAAACTTGAAAAAAAATGGTTGGGATAAGGTTTTGTGCTTAGCATTTTGTATGAACATAGAACATGGGTTAGTTCCATAACTAAGTTAAGTGATTTGTATGAATACAGCTGGTGTATTTGAGGAGCAAGGGAGAAGAAAAAACTAGAGAGGAGAGGTGGAGAGGATCAGTACATATATTGCCTTTACAAGAAGTCAATTGAATGCAAATTTTTACGGGGAGAAGTCTTTGAGATAACAGCAGCTTGAATTTTGAATTAGACCCCCCCCCCGACATTAGTGTAGTTCTTGCTCCAAACCCCCTCTAGTACAGTGTTTTTCTACCTTGGCAACATGCTGGCTGGGGGATTCTGGGAGCTGAAATCCACACATCTGAAAGGTGCTAAGTTTGAAAAACACTGCTCTAATACATTATTTTTGTCCCAGCTGTATCAATGTCGCTCTTACCCCATTTCTAGGTAATAGGTGTTCAGGGGTTCTATCCCTAGGTCATTTATCTGACAGACGTATGCAACTCTGTAAACATTTTTCCCCATAGAGGGCTCTTTACATATTAATTTTGTGTACAGAGAAATCCAATGAACTCCTGATCATTGCAGAGAACTTTGGGGTTCACTGGCTCCTTTTTAGCACTATTGTGAACCAATGTCTCCCAAAGTGAGTTGAGTGTGTCTTAGAATGCCTTTCATCTATGTTGCAGAGAAAGATTAGGCATCTTAGGTAAGCTGTCTTTCAGATAACTTACCTTCTGCAGTTGATGTTCTCCTTGAAGAAGCTTGTAATCTTGAAAGGTGTTCTAGGTCTGCAGTAGACGGTAGATTAATCACTGAATAGAGAAGATTGTTATGTCACTATGTTTAACTTTTTGAAACTAGGTTCGGGCACAAGATGCCTTTAGCTGTGGAATGCACTGCAGATCTGATCCGCTGTAAACTCCTAGATGCCTCTGGAGTTCTGAAATCCCATGAATTGATCCTTACATATGGCCTAGCACTAGTGAGGTAAGAGTTGTGAGAAAGAGGGAAGAAGCTTCTTAAGCTGTTTTCCAAGGCTTACTGGAGATGAGAGCCTAGGAAAGAGAGTTGGATTTTTACAGAAAGCTATTTTTACCACTAATGAAAGCACCTTATCTCTTTAAAGACTCTTAAAAATGTTGAGCAAAGAAAAAATATCAGGAATCTATGAAGGTTCTTCAAACACAATCTTTTTTCTACTAGCAACTAGAAGACAATGTCTAGTAGAAGACATTGACAGTGAACCTATGTTCTTTGATGTTCAATGAACCTATTCATTGTCAATGCCTTCTGCATCCAGCACAATGTTTACTTAGTTCTCTCTTGTTCAGACATTGAAGGTTTTCTTCACAAATAGTTTTGCCCTACTGAAGTGCTAACAAACTCTTCTCCATAGATGTCCTGAGTCAGTTCTGTAAAACAGAGGTCTGATCACCAAGGATTAGAAGGAGCAGTGGGCCGTTTAAGAGATTCCAGCAAACCATTAAGTGTTACTAGTTACTTAGCTGCAATGAAATTGTTCTCTAGTCTGAACTGGTTATAGTTACAATGCATGCTCTAAACACATATTTGAATTAATAAATGTTAAATAGTTTATGTATATTGTTAAATTCTATAACTGAAAGTTTTGCTTTATGAGCTCACTGTGATTTAGAACAAACAAGTGAGCGTACCATACCTCAGGTTGTAGCTGAATTGTTATTCTGCATTGTTCTGGATATTATTATTTATTATATTTGTATATTGATCGACTCTGGGTGTCTCACAAATAACATTTACAAAAAAACAGAAAAAGAAAGAATAAAAGGTGGCAAAGATGACAAGAACTGAATGAAAAAGAAACAAACCCATGCAATCCAAAGGGCTTCGCTCACCCTGGCCAAAGGCCTGGGTGAAGAGCCTGGTCTTCAAGTCCCTTCAAAACAAAGCAGGATGGGGGCCATCCAGATCTTGGGGGGAGCCTCATTCCAGAGGGCAGGCATGCTTCTGGGGTCCCAAAATTTGAACTGTTTAATTGAAGAAACCCGGAGTGCGCCAACCCTGCCAGATCAAATAGGCCAAGGAAGACGGGCCGTCCCTCAAGTAACCAGGCCTTATGCCATGGTCATATTCAACAGTCAGTTTCAAGATAGTGGCTGAAGGCTGGGAGAATTCCTCTTTCTGGGTTTGCTTCAGGCTTATTTGCCCTCCTTAGAAATAATCCCAAACAAAAGTTGTTTCCCTAAGATCATGGATCCCTTACGTCTTTCTGTCATGTACAGGTTTGTGAATCTTATCACCGAGCGGAAGCAGAAGATGGTTACCATTCCACTAAGGCAGCTAGCAAAAGAGGTAAAAGGTGGCTGAGTGCATTCAGCTCTGGGAGGCTATAAAAACATTACCCCCAGCAGTGGTACTGAGGGTGCATTTCAAACATCAGTCGGTAGGATGCCTCGCTTTCTTCCCTGATTTTAATAATCGTTTGGTTCTTGCTCAAAGCTAAACATCCCAACCTGGATTGTGGATCTCCGTCACGATCTGACCCATGGCACCCTTCCCCAGCTGGTTACTTGCCGAAAAGGTAAGAGCATTCTTTATTCTGATGATGTTACCTAGTTGGGTAATGCAATGCCTGAAAGCCAACCACCAAGCTCAGAGAGAACTAAGGACTCCCCAGTTCAACCCTGAGCCACAGACATTCTCTTCCATTGGATTCTTTCTTCATTAAGGCACCCGCTGTGCTTTCCATGTTTTTGGAATGAGGGGATGGAAGTGAGAGGAAGGGGAGATAAACCAGATACAATTTGTGTTTATTTTAATTTTGCTTATTTAAGGTGGGTTGCAGTGAGGCATTGGGATTCTGCCCACCTTTTTGTGGAACAAGTGGGTTTTAAGAAGGGTATGTGGCTAGTATACTTGAAGACGTGGTTGTATTCCCAGGCGTGGGGGTCAGATTGTCAGTTAGAGCCCATGAGATGGTTCTTTTAATCGTTGCTTGATTAGTTTATACTTGGCTGCTGGTTTTGTTGTTAGCTCCCCAGAGTTACAGTCGTGAGATAGATGGCCATATAAAATGAATGAATCAATAAATAAATGGATGATGGGGGCTTGGGGAGAGCTCAAGTATGAGCAGTCTCAATAAAACGAATTACTTAATTTCTGTGCTCTTGATGGTATACGAAATGTTTCAAATTCAAAACAAATATTTTTGAGTTTGAAAGTCCCTGCTCTGATCATTCTTCATTTGTTCTGAGCCTGACACACGTCCAAAAACAATTAAAACAGCACTTTCTGTTCTTAAAGCAGGCTGTTTCAAATCTGAAGCCGCTGTAATTAATGCTTTAACACTTCTACTGGCCTCCTTCCCTCTTAGTATATTCACAGTGCTTAAAAACCATAAATACAGAAATAGAAACCAAAGTTCACATACTAATGGGAAAAAGAACTAAACAGGCAGTCTAAAGGCAGCCTAGTCCTAGAGTAATTTCCTGTACAGCTACCTGAGTAAAAAAGCATGTAATCAGTAGGTTTTCTGAAATAAAGTGGGGTGGGGGGAGAACTAATGCATCACAATCTCAGTTGCATACATCTTTGCTGTTAGATGCTATCCTTGGTGCGTCCCCCAGGTGGCGCTGTTGCATTGGATGGAGCAAATATTACCACTCCCCAAGAGTACAGATAGCCTTCCTCCTACCTTAAACAGATAATATAAGCCATGGTCTGTTTGGAGCAGGATTTAATCTGTATAGCATGAGAGGGGGAATAGAAATGTCTTGCTCTTCAGGGTGGGAGGAAGAATGCAGAAGGCTTCTCTCTGCTTCAGATAAGATTTCTCCAACATTATACTCTCTAGAGGTGTGGAATTGTAACTTTCAGCATGTCTCTGGAGAGCACAGAGCTGGGGAAGGCTGTTCTAGATAGTTTGCAGGGCTCCTGTTGATTTTCTTTAAAGGCTGCAGTTGCCTTGTTGACCATGGGAAGAAGGGTCTGCGGTTTTTTCTTATATTTCCAAAAATGGGGTCCTCCAAACACTTGCTGGTTTCTTTTTCTATTTTCTCCCCTCTCAGGTGTGGTGCTTAGATCAGGGAGCTGAGCAGAGAGTCTACAGTAGATGACAGGGTGGGTAGAAAAGCGGGTAAATAACCCCGGGTGCTTTGTGGTTCCGTTTTGCTATTGGCATTCAGGTTCTCTGAGCAGATGCAATGCCTTTGTTCGGATGGGTAGGAGTGAAGACTAAGTGGTCCTGAACAGCTTCCCCACAATTAGTTTGAGTTACTTTGTGTTTAGATTATCGGAATGAGCTTGATATGGCCCTGAGGACAATCCAGTTCCATGAACACTAAGGGAACACAACAACCAGGGAGTTTTATAACATCCTGACACTTGAACCTGTTCTTTGGCCAGGGCTCACACGTACATTCAGTTTATGAGCAGCTGATAACTAATGAATGGCTGGGGAGGGTGGGAGATCCACCCTGTCCGCTCTTTGTGCAATAATTTTGTTGATGCTTAGTATACTTACTGACCCTTCGTTCTTCCAAAGTATGAGACGGCTTGTTAGTATTACTGTGTGGTTTTTTTAATGGTGCAATCCGTCCTTCTCTCCAGGTTGTGATACTGTGCTGGACTGGCTTCGGCGCTCATATTGGAGCTGCCAGTTGGGCAATAGTTTAGTTGAAGAAGGTGAAGAGGAAACCGAAGAATCATCAGAAACAGATGGTGAAGAGGAGATGGACAGCAGTCAAGAAGATCTAGAGAAGATGCTAGATGAGCAGAAACGCCAGGAACTCTGTGGTAGGTGCATTCACAACTATTGTTTCTTCTTTCTGCACTTCCTACTCTTCTAAAGGCTTCCTTTTCTCTAATTTCTCTCCCCCAGGGAAAGTCAGAGATGTTTTGACTTCCTATAAAAATCAGCAACTTGAGGTAAGCTCCATAGATTCTTAATGAGGCTAGCAATTCTTGTTTCCTTTGAAAATTCTTAAAATGATTATAAGTAAAAAAAAAAATAAAGTATACATTCAAGATATGTTGCTTTGATTAAAACATTATTGTTTGGGCTTTCTGATGCAAGGGCAAAGCAGGGTCTCTCCATTCACTGTCTTCCAGGTGAACTGGGAGTTGGAAAAAGTGAGTTCAGGGAATGTATGTGCTGACCAGGAAGCACAGCTAGAATGAAATACAGAGGAGCTGTAAGGTTCAAAACTGGGACAGGAGTGTGCATATTGTCACACTGTCTATTTAACATATGCAGAATATATCATGAGAGATGCTGGACTAAAAGAAATTGGAATTAAAATTGCTAGGAGAAACATCAACAACCTCAGATATGCTGCTAATACAATTTTAAAGGCTGGACACAAGGAGAAGGAATCTCTTGAAGGTGAAAGAAGAGAGTGCAGACATCAACCTGCTGCTCAGCCGTTTTTTTAAAAACCTTAAGATTGTGTCAGTAGGCAGTGCCAACCAACGCAAAGAATCAAAGAAGGAGTTGAAATAATAAGTTCAGAAATTCTCAGGAATGGTGACTATAGCCATGAAATAAAGGGGTATCCTTCCTTGAGAGAAAGGCTACAACAGATCTAGACAAAATATTAAAGTGCACAGACATCATACCAAAAGCACACGTATATAGGGTTTTCCCCAGCTGTAAATATGGCTGTGAAAGCTGGGCCACCAGGAAGACAATATGAAAAAAACTGTTGCTCTTGGAGCATGGTGCTGGCTAAATTGTTGAGAATATCTTGGACCCAAAGAACATGAAATGCTAACCCACTGATTATAGAACTAAAGCTTAACAATTTTGCTCACATGATGTGAAGGAACGAGTCCCTGGCAGACGTCCTGATGCTTATAAAAATGGAAGGCAATCAGAAGACAAGATGGAGAGGTGCCATCACTGAGAACATAAACCGGAGTTTGCAAAAACTCAAAGTGACTGACAGTCCTGGTAATTAAGTTTTGTGGATCACAAAGAGAAGTGACAACAATAATAATGTAGGGAATTAAACTGGTGTTTGAATTTTAAATGAATAGTTGTGTTACAAATATACACACCTAATTTGTATGTTCCATTTTTATTCACTTTGCATCAGTTTTATATTTACTTTCAGTAGTCTGTCTATCGGCATGGATGGTGGATCCCTTCTGATTTCTTCTGCTCTTTCCATTGTCTTTTCTGTTCCTAGTTCTATTCCTGGTTGATTGTTGGAATCAACAGCTTTTCCACGTTGGCTGTTACAATGACTTAGCTCAATAAGCCAGTTGGTTCAGTTCACGTACAAACGCTAAGCCCGAAACAAACTTACTGCATTTTATTATGCCTTAACCCAATGTGTGAATCTAGTCAATCCCTTTCATTAGTTGATGTGCTGCTTCTTCATTCTTGGCTTAGGTTCTCAGGCGGCAGCCAAATATCAGCCAAGCTTGCAAAGTGTGGAGCACAGCTACTTCAGAGGTGGAGTGGGTTACGGCCCAGGTGAAAGATTTGTTACAAGAAAACAGGTACGGTCTGTGACTTCTAGCCAAGCCAGAGCATGCAGTGGCTGGCCTTGGCTGTGCCTTTGCTGTTCAGTACACAGCGTGATTAGCCATGTTCCCTTCTGTCTAGACAGACGAGGAGAGGTATGCGTGAAGAGAACAGCTGTACAAGTGTAGACTGGGTGTCTTTCTGCTGGCTCAGAGGGATGTGGAAATACACAAATGGCAAGTTAGTCTGGCAGAATTTTAGCAACCACAGTTGGGCCTAAAAAGAGACCTGTTAAGTCCATACAGAACAGCTGGGGAATGCTGATTTTTACTGGGGTCTTGGTGACTTCTGGATGTGCCCAAAGCTGATCTGGGGCATCTGCAGGTTCTTGGGTGACAGGCCTGCTTGCTGGTCTTCCTAAGCTTCTGAAAGGACTAAGCCGAGCTTCACAGCTCTCAGCGGCAGAACTCTGTATGTCCAAACTTTGCCAAGACAGAATCCCTACAGCTGCTAGAGGGAATGGATGGTGCGATTGGATGCTGGACCTTCTTCCGACTCCCCCACCTCTTCCAGTCCACTTGAATGGAAGTCAGAGCATCTGCTGGCAATCAGTATAGTTTTTGCAGGCCTGAGGTTCTCTCGTGCAGTTTTCAAGCAGTGATAATAGTTCTCTGGATCAGTAGTAGAGCGATGCAGTAAGTTTTTTGCAGGTGAGAAAATGGCTGGTTAGGGTCAGAGTTACTGCGAGGGATCATTTGGTCCATTGTTCCCGCCCATTCATTGATCCACCACAAATAGCAAACGGCCTGGCATACACATGCAGAAGTGCATGGTTAAAAAACAACCTCCCTTGTGGTCTTTTAACATCCCTGCAAGTAAAAATCTACCAAAGTAAGAGGAAAGTGTCTTGTCTTGTTTCTACTCCTTTTCTGCTGCTTTCCTCCTTTTTAAAAAATATGGTGAGATTCGGAGAGTGCCGACTGAGCGACAGAGGCTGTTTTATTAACAAGGCTGGATGTCCCTATAAGGAAGAGGTAGATTCATACTTAAGGGTGGGTTTTTAGAAGTTCATTTTGTTTTGTAGTTTTGCCTTATAAATACAAATGTTCAGATTTTATGATCATTTAGGATGTACTTAGGAACATTTCTCAGTCTAGTAGAAATGCAGTCAAACCACATGCAGTGTTGCCTCAATGAAATGGAAGACAGTAGAAATCAGGCATTTGGGACAGAACATTTCGGTTACTTTGGGCTAAAGAGAAGCTCCCAACTAGGACTGATGGGAGTTGAATTCCAAAACAGCTAGGGCACACCAAGTTAGCCTGCACCTGAATTAAGTTAAATACTCTTTTATTACAAAGATCTAAGATAACAAGATTGTCAATCATAATTGCAGTGCAGAGTCACAAAATAATTTTCAGCGAGTGGTTCAGATAACGTGCTAAGTGGTTTGGTTGGAATCTAGTCATTGTGGCTTACCAACTGTGGTTTATGACTTAGCGTGGACCTAGGGATTTATGGTTTGTTCAATAAACCATGGTCAAACCATGGCTTAACTTGTGTGTTTCTGGGTTAGTACAAGGGAATAGGTATTGTGGAGTGAGAAACTTAAATCAAGTCTCCATAGCTGTGTGGGTATCGAGACAAGAGAATTGGATTTTGGTTTCTTCCTGTGCGTATGTTTTAAGGAATTCAGCACAGGGCTGTGTCTGCAGTCGCTATAACATCTGCGGAATTTCCATTATTCTAAGCGTGGGGAAGCACTTTAGAGAAGTCGGGTAAAAACAGAACTTCTTGGCTCTGTCCCTTCACTTACAGCATCTCTTCCTTTCTCCCTGATAAGACTTGTGCTAACAGTCTTAGCTGTCTTCCATTTTTCAGGGTGCATAATTGTATCCCTTTCCATATATTAATTTGAATGCAAACAAAGGCATGGAAATAAGCAATCCAGGTTGTACCCCAATCTTCACTTCAAATGATATCCACTCTGAATGACCATAATTTCTTAGAAGGACGGTTTGGATTAATGGTATGTGTGTTTCAGTGTATGCACACACACATATGTATGCATACTTAAGATGCATACAGTTATTACGGTTGGTCTCTGGCTGTAAGAAAGATGAACTTAAACTGTCTAAACCAGGGTTTCTCAACCTTAGCAACTTTAAGATGTGTGGACTTCAACTCCCAGAATTCCCCAGCCAGCAAGCACATCTTAATGTTGCTAAGGTTGAGAAACCCTGGTTTAAACTATATGAAACATATCTGTCCTCCTCAATGCACAGCCTGAGGTCGTTCATTTTCCAGGGTCCAAGATTGCTCATCTGAGATTATATCTCTTTGGAGAACCTAAGCAGAGGCCTTGTTAAATATAGAGACTCAGTGATGGAATCCCAGTCCATTTTATAAGTATTTGTCCCCAACTGAGCCTGAGAGAATAATAGCCCCCTGAGATCCGTATGGCTCCCACCTGATAAAAACCTGGCTGTTCTCCCAGGCTTTGGGATAGGATGTGAAGGTTGTTCTTTGTTATGTATGAATTTCACTTCTGAACGTGTATAGTCTTTTGCATAATTTTTTATTGTTTCCTGTTTTTTAAAGTGTAAGCCATCCAAGAGTTGCTTGGACAGCCTCTAAATTATAGAAACAAAATAAAAACCAGTGATTTCTTTTCCTAAATAATTCATCTCTAGAGGATATCAAGTTGCTTTAAATGAGCATGGGAAGGCTATGATGTGAATCAGCTACAATAGCCTTGCTTATATGGGGAAAAATATGTCAGCTAAGTGAATTACACAAAAATTTTAAGATCCCGAGTCTTCTTCGCCCTCCAAAAGCCTCACCTCTGTATTGGAAAATGAAATGAAAGTGCCTCTTTTCTTTTCCTCGACTTTTTTTTTCTTCATGATTTGCTGGTGTTGTGTGGGGCCAATGTCCTAGTGATGTCTGGTTCAGATTATTTTCTCTTTATGCCTTATCCCCAAATATGGTAGAAAAGTTTCAGCTGGAAGAAAATTGGGCTGAGTGATAATGACTGGTCCAGAGTTACTCAGTGAGTCGTGGTCAAGTGGGCTCAAATCTGGGTTTCCCATTGTGATGTCTTAACCACTGTACCACATTAGCTATAGGAAAACTAAACTATAGCTGGGAGAATCATGTAGGTGAAGCTGTTTGACCACCCACGATTGGTATAAGGTGACACTTTGCCATTTCAAGAATTCCTTATTCATATAGAAACTGAGATAAAGTTTTAACAAACTGAAGTTTAAAAAAAAAAAACTCTGGAGAAAAAGGTTGGCACTTTGGGGAAATAGCTCTAGGATTTGCAGAAGGGGCTTTCTGAGTAAGTCACCTGAGATAAGTGAATTTGACCAGAGACTTGTGGTTAAGAAAGTAGTTTGGGCTCTCTAACTCACCAGCTGTGACTCAGAGCAGTGCCACTTGACTTCTACATCCTTGAAACCTCTTTTGCAAAAGCAGCCCCAGGAGGTGGATGGATTTTTTTTTTCCTGTTGTGAAATCTTACAAGGCTCTTGTTTTAGGGGAAGGGGATTCTGAAGAAGCTTTCCAGGAAGCATGTCCATTTTTCTGTGGATAGTTTTGTGTGCATAACTCCAGCTACAAATCACATGTGAAGAATATGGAGGTAGCATTAAGCATGACCTAACATGATCCAGGTCTCTCCTTGCAGAGAAAAGGGCATATTAATTGATTTATCATTTATTATATTCAGTGCTGCCTGGTAACAAGAGTTCTTTGGAAGGGAGTAATCTGTCGAACTAGGTTATTTATTCTTAAAGTAAAATGGTTTTTAAAAAGTATTTTGACAAAGAGGTGGCTCTCTTTCCATGTCAACCATGTTCCAAAGGGACACCTGATGCAACATCTTCCTTGAAAGGATGCTTAAATTGGTGTCCTCAGAGGATATAGGCTCAGCATTATTGCATGGCCTTCTTGGTTAGGTGCTTTTAGCTGCTCTGGATCCCCCTTTCGTGTTCCCCCTCCCCAACATTTTTAATGCTTCCCAGTGTAGTTTTTGTCCAGGGCCCAATGATGCTACCTGGCGCTTCTTGCTCTCCTCACTCCAGGGGCTCCCTGATGGAGAAGAGAATTGGAAGAGGGCATTTTGCAAAAAAAAAAAAAAAAAAATCACACACACACACACACACACACAGCAAGAAGGGAGGAACCCTAGCTCTTTTTCTGCCTGCTGTTTCTTGTAACTCCCACCTGCCCCTTTCTCTTGTTTGTTTCTCCACATACTGGGTTTCTGAAGAGTATGCTGGTCATGGAGGTGGGGGAGAAAGCAGTGGTTGCACACCCACACACAGGATTGTTCAGGAAATAGTTTGCTAAGAGAAGTAAGAACCAGCCTTGCTCTTCCTTAAACTTACAGTGATAAGATTGAATGGATCTGGTTAAAGCAAAAAGCAAGATGGGTGAATGGGGAATTGCATTGGAGGGGGTGAGATAGGGAGAATGGAAAGTTTATAAAATTTCAGAATTCCTTCCTTTCTCTCCCTGTAAACTTGACCATGGTCCTTCCTCCCGATTCCTTTTGCCTTGCCTTCCCAGTTTCTGGGGGAGCATGTCTCTTGAATTATAGTACCAGCTGTGATTTATACAGTGTGGGTGTGAGGCTTTGTCTCTTTCCAGCAGCTGGATTTGATATTACAACTACAGTGATGCATTGTGTTTCCCTCCAGAGGTTGTCTTTTTGAAAGCGGGGCTGTTACGTGAGGCTTCCAGAAAAGAGTCTCATCTGTTATGGTTTATTAAATTAGCTGCAGTGTATTATTGCTTTGGAAGGTTTTTTTTCCTTTTGAAATCCCACCTTTTTCATTTTTTTTTTAAAAGCTGGTTTGATGAACTTTATTTCTTACATTTATATCCCTCCATCCAATCAGTAGCTCAGGGCAGTGTACATAACATTTGTACCTCCTCTTGTTTCCCCAACCATTGGGGAGTAAATTGGGCTGAGAAAGAGAGGTTGGCTCAGAGTCATCCATTAAGCTTCTGTGGCAGAGCAGGGATCTCAGCTTGCATTCCTGGTCTCCTGGTTAAGGCTCCAGGCTAGAAACCAGGAGACTGTGAGGTGAAAGCTGGCTGGGGGACCTTGGGCCAGTCACTCTCTCTCAGCCCCAACAGCAGACTCGGGCAACAAGCTGGCTGGTCAATTCCTGTTGCAACCAGCGGATCAACATTCTGAAAAGGCATTCTGGGGGGGGGGGAGCAGACCCTGCCCACATGGGAAAAATGCTAGGATGAAAAAAAAAAGAAAAGAAAACAAACTTTGGACTTGCATATTGTCTCCCTGATTTTCTGGCCTGCATAAACCAACATTTGACTCCACTTCAGACAGAAATGGCCTTGGAAGAACTAACCCCTTCTTTTAGTTTGGTTAAGAGAGCAGGGCTGCAATTTGTGCACAAAGTGGTTTCTACAACTTTCACAGCAGGTTTGCTGACAAGCGCAGAAAGGCCAAACATGGTTTAGTCAATCTAGCTCAGCTTTATAGCTACTTCAAGATCAGTAGTTTCCAGTGTTTACATGCAAAGGAAGGAGGAAGGAGGCCTTAAGGTTTTTAAAACTTCTCACATCACCCTGTGATTTTGCAATACATCTCCGCATTTCCTGATTGAGGAATTGTGGCAAGCTGTGAATTTCCTCAAGTCCTGGAAGTGTAAGGGAAGCATTCAGTTCTGTTACTATCTAAGAATATTCTTGGAAGCTAACATTTTTTAAATCGTTAATGTGGAAAAAAAATCACAGCATGGGGGGTTTCTTGCTGGCTATTGTTATATAGACCAGAGAAGTGTAATTTATAGGACATATGTGTCCCATTAATCTTTTTTTTGCAGCCCCCCCCCAAAATATGCTAACAAAGGAAAAGTACCAAGTAATGTGATTCCCATTGTTTTTCAGTACAAAAGTAAAGAGTAACTGTGCCTAAGTTATATTGGCTTAATGTATGAAGAAAATCCCTTTTAAAATGGAGGAGGGGAAGAGCAAGTGACAGGCTTGACAGCAGCAACTTATACCTGATTACCAGATAACAAAATGAGGGTGGGTGGGATGCTTTTCTGTACTCATTACTGGGTTTATATGCAGCCTTTCCTCCAGGGATGTGAAGTCGTATGTGTAATGTTCCCGTTTCTTTCTCTGTGGTAATAGTCCTGTGAGAGAATCTGGGCTGCAGGAGAGTAGCGGGCTAAAGTCAGTCCTTCACTCTTAGCTGTGGGTGGAATTCAATGTGGAATTCCCTACAATATCTCAGCCACCGCCTGCTGCTTCCATCCTGCAGGAATGATTCTGGGAGTTACTGTCGTCCTTGTACTGTCCCTTGTACATACTGGGTTGTATGGCGGATAGTGCTGAGGGAAGAGAACAGAAAGAAAGAGGCCGTTATTGGCAAAAGAGTCACGGGGCAGTGGGAAGAGTTTGGAGCTCTAGGTTGGGTGGGGAGATAAGAGGTGATGGATGCATTAATCAGACCCTTCTCTGCTTTGCTTTTCTGAAATCAGTCGTGATCTGTTAGCTGCTACCAGCTGGCTGGCCCCGATGAATTAGGAACAAGCTATTTTTGTTGTTGGCCAAAATCAACGTGCCTTCTGAGCTCATAAGAGAATTGGGCAAATAATAATGATAATTATAATGATAATAATATGGCGGGGGAGTAAAAGGGGCTTGTAGCTGGAAGACCACAGAGAATACTCAATGGGTTTTACAATTGCTATAGGGAAGTTGTGGCTGAGACGTTACTTGAAGACGGCTTTCTCATTCCAACCGCAGACGCATTGCAGATCTTGAGTATTCGCCCTCAAGGTTGGTATCCTGGGCTGCTTTCTTTCCTTCGGTGGACAGGCAAACAGTTCTTCAGCCATGGGCTGTTCAAAATGCAGGCGGATTAGCTGTGCTGGATCCCGGCAGTCTGTTCAGTTGTCTGTGCAGTGTTGCCATTCCACTGAAACACTCAAAGCGGTTAGTAGGACCAGTTTGTTTAAGATAAAAACCAAACCTATGAAACATAAAATGGGTAGTGTTTCAAGGGCTAGCTGATTTCCTAAAGGTGTGGGTTTTAATTCTGTCACCTGAAATGAGGAAAGGCCTTTCCCAGATACCAGATCAGCAGGACTCTGATAGTGGGGACATGTTCAGAAAAGTTTCTCCTGCAGGTTTTCACTTTCAGACAGGTTGGAAGAGAGAAGGATGGTCCCTTGGATAACATCTCAAATAATAAAAAGAAATAATCTGCATAGTGAGAAATTGGTTCATACTAGGAGAGAATTCAGAAATGCAAGGAAAGATTAACTTCACTCAGATCAGTTTATGGCCTGTGCCCCCCTGACCCCCAGTCATCTTGAATTATTATTGACAGATATAACTCTTTTAAATGATTTCTTTTTCTTCTAAGAAAATGTTTGCCCAAGCATGTCATCTATTTTATTTTTCTTGCCTTTTTAAAAATAGTTGCCACGTAATTTGTTGGTCTTTGTTCTTATACTTCTTTCTTTCTCTTTAAAATTGGCAATACTTATTACAGTTGTGTTTTCCTGGCCCCCAGAGAATTAATATCAAAATTTAATTTTCTAACCTTAAGAGCACTGATGAGTGGATATTGGTGTTCATAATAATCAATTTCTAAAATTACTTTTCTTCCCTGCCCCTCTTCTGCCTTGTTGGTTGGAGTGTAGAAACTCACAAATGGGATTTTAAGATCCCTCGAGTATTTCTTCGTTTCTGGCAGCCCCTGCTGAAAGGTTTGCATTCCAGAAATTTCACTCAGACTCTGCTGGAGAAAATGTTTAATGAGTTGAAGGCACACACAAGGATCTCATCTCTTCGGTCTCAGTACCTCATCAACTGGATCACAAAAATTCTGAAGGCCAACTTGCAAGTTAGTAAGTATTGTGAGGTCTTCAGACCAGACAAGATTAAGATTTTCACTTGGCATTATTCTTCATCAGTGTGTGGGCTGATGAAAAACAATAGGGGACTAGTAAAGTTTTCCCATCGGTTTTATTTGCATGGCAAGTTTAACTGTACTGAACATATGTATTCATGGTTTAACCAGTTTTCTGGTTTCACATCACACTGAAGCATAAACTAATCATACGAGCTGGATTTGCACAACATTCTAAACTAAAAAAGTAGTGGTTTAGTGTGTTGTATGAAAAGAGTGTCGCCATCCAATCTTTCTTCTTCTAGAAAGATGGCATCTCCTTAATCTTGGCTTGTTGACTGTTTCTGAGTATCTATAGAGAAATAAATCCATCCAACCCAACATGCATACCTTCTGCAACTGAGAATAAGTTCAAAGTTCTTTACAGACACTGATCTTTCATTGCCAAGTCACCTTCATCGCTTTCATAAAACTGTCCTTTAAAAAACATTCTCAGTAAAATCATTCAACATGCAAAGATTTCCAATGGACTTGTTAATGTACCCATAGATTTAGCTGGCTTTGATCCCCTCCAGGTGACTCGGCAAAGGTGATTAATCTAAATGCCAGTATGAATACCAAAAGAACCATTTTTGCAGCCACTGACCAGTACAATATACAGTTTTACAACTAAAAGTATAGTTCCCAAATAAAAAATGCAGAAAGAGTTCGTATAAAAAGATAGTAAATGAAGGTATAGCAATAAAGCATCTGGGGAGAAAGGCCGTATTGTACCATCTTCTGCTCTGCTGCACAGAAGGAGTCTGCCAACATTGTCCAAGCCTTGTAGGAGATTCAACTTTAGCCAGACTTTACATATCCTCATCCAGGCCCTCGTGTCAGCTTGGTCAAGCCACCTTCAAGATGTGATGCTGCATTAAGTACAGCAACAGTCTTCCACTTGGAAGACTTTTCTTAAAATGTGGGACTGGGTAGATTCAAGCCGAGATGTCTGCCTCTTTAGCCCCAGTTAAACTCCATAAATAAGTTGGGCTAGAGGTTTTGCCCCAAGAAGACTAGTGGCGGCTGGAATAAATTGTGCTCGTATGTAGAAGAATGACAGAATGGCTGTGCTGCTGCTTTCAGCCCTCAAGGAGACCTATAAGAAGTGACCTTGGCTGAAAAATCAAACTGAGGGGGTTAAAACAAGCGGCCTGGCCAAATTTCTGTGCCTTGACAATGTAGCGAAATTTCAGGTGTTGGGGTCTTTTTGAGAACACCACAGTCTTGGTTTTCTTGCAGTTCATTTGTAAGTGGCGATCCAAACAGAAGGGAAGTAAAGAATAAAGGCCCTCTTTCATCCTCTTAGGCTCAGTGAGCCACCTGTGTAGAGTTGCACAGTGATCTGCCGGCTTGCAATGTTCTGTAGGTGGTGGTCCACTTTCGTCAGACAACCGGCAGTGCAATTTATATAAAATTGAGTAACGAGGGCTACTGGGCAACAGCTTCTGCCTCCAGGTGCTCTGAGCCTGGCCACTTGGATTCTCAAGCTCCTGTGAAAAGGTGGACGGAATTGTTTTGTGAGCTGTATGCAGAAGAGGCTGATGAAAGCCACCCTGCTCAGGAGAGGATTGTGGACCTCTTCCATGCTGGCTGCAGGTCTCAGTTTCAGAAGTGGCCAATTTGATTAACCAGCTAAAATCCGGAAAGGCAGCAGGAGTAGCTTTGATTCATCCAGAACTGACTTAAAAACTATTGGGCATGGTAGGTGTCAACCCTGGCCCCTCTGTTCACCTACATAAATCAAGCAACCAGTGTTCCCAAAGACTGGGATTTGGCCATAATACTAATTTTTTTAACTAACTGGAAATTTTTGCCCCATTAGTTTATTAAGCATAAGGTATTCAAGAGAAGGCCAAAATTTAGCAAAACAGGAACAAATGTTGAGTCACTTATTGGATAAATAGCAAAACCAAGATCTGCCCTACATGCTGCATGGATTGACTTTAAGCAGGCCTTCGATGGTATCTCCAGGAAAAAAAAATATGTGAAAAGTTCAGAATGACAACTACTTATGCTCACTTATAAAATGCATGAAAGTACTAAAAGTGAAGGTAAGATGTAATGCAGCAAAGTAAGATGTAATTCTCTGCCCCTATCCCTGCCAGGAGAGGAATCAAGCAAGGGTGGATTAAACACCAGTACATTTTGTGAATGTGTTTGTGGTATTTTTATCACATTTGTGAAGAGGGCTGCGTTCTGAATCGCATGTGAGCTTATCTGAAAAGGCAAAACAAGCCAACAGCAGCTTTCCAGATCCCACTGTGCCCAACAACCACTCTGTCCTTTGGCTGCAGATTAAACATGTTAAGAAAGCAAAGAAACGGGTGAGGCTTATGGCCAGCCATGCTGCAGTGATGTGCTTTGCAATGTATCATTTTCGTTGTTTGAGTTTTAGACAACTGCAGAACAAAGAAGCCTTCCCTGGAGCATCAACGCAACCTGTTTTTCTGCAAACGATCTTTTCCAGATTAACTGCCGTGCTTTTAAAAGTAAAAATCTGGCATTAACGCTTCAACTGCAATTGTATTAGTTAAAATGCTCCAGCCCAGCAGCTTCCTAATTGCTGCTTTGGTAATGTAGAATATGCACCAAAAGAGAACAGGTTGAATGTTGTTTGGGCTTTGGAAAGTATCCACTATTGTTCAGCCTAAGCTGTCAATCCATAAAATTGGGATCATCTGTCAGTACCAAATTGAAAGGTTGGATGTTCATAACGCTAGACTGAAGTGTCGAGGCCTAATTTCTTGTTCATGTGTTGCCTGCAATCACCCAGTGTGGTTGTCCTGTGTGGACCCTAAGCAACACTAAGCAATGTTGGCTGGTGGGGCCCAAGAGGAGAGCATTCTCTGTCTTTGCCCCCACCCTTTGGAATATTTTTCCCCCAGAGGTGCAGTGGACCCCCTATCCTCCCAGTTTTCTAAGAAGGACTTAAGGCCTGGCTCTGCCAGCTTGTGTGGGGCGATAAGAGATTTAATCAATCCTGGGGGTGGTTGGTGCCCTGATGTCATTCCTGAGTTATTCACCAATTCCATCATTCTTGGAATTTATTATTTTTAAGATTGTTTCTATATTGTATTTTAATTGATTTTCTCCCCTTTGTAACCCACCCAGAGTCGCTTTTCAGCAAGATGGACGGTGACAAGTTTGATAAATAAATAACCCATGATTAACTGATCAAATGCTTACTGAAACATGGAAGTGAATTCAAGTGCACGATATGAAGGCCAGACTGGGCATGGCTTTGGTCAAGTGACATGCTCCTGTCTCCTTCCCATGCTTCCATTTTATAGGCAGAACTGAGGTTCAAAAGTGGGAAGTGACCCTGTGCAACACTAGAGTGCAGCTATGTTTGTGACATCTGAACTTTTCCAAATCCAGTCTTCTCTGAGCTTGGCAGTGAGAGCCTTCCTTTCTTTCTTTTTCTTCCATGATTCTGGATTAAGAGAAGAAGTTAAAGTCTTCCAGAGCGAAGAAGAAACAAAGCTGCCTGAGGTTGTTTCACCACCATATTTCATTGCAGTGGCTGAAGCTCCTCAGTGATTGCCTAGAAGCACCTTGCTGGGCAAGTCCCCATCTCTTGCATCTGTAAGTACATCAATCGTTCAGTGAAATGGATCTGGGGCCACAAAATGGACTTCGTCATTCTGATGCAGGGGAAAGTGACAGCAAGGCATTCTGATAACATTGTTTTGGCACCTCAGTTGGCTTTCATTGTCTCAGGGCCCAGATCTGCAGAGCTGGAAGGTCTTAAAGAGATTGGTAGCTCCATATTCTCTGGAGGCTCATTTCTGAGAGTCCACCATCAGAGTTTCACTTGGATCAGTATTTCTCAATCTTTTTTTGGTCATTGGGCCACTAAAGAAATGTTCAGAAAGTGCCAGAACCATCAGTCAATGCAAATATCACCTCCCTGTGCTTTCATCGTTAAGAACACAGAAGTTCGTGTTTTTCAGCGAATAAGGGAATGGTTATAGTTGCACTTAGGTCTTCTCCAGTCTCCCTCATTTTTAAAGGCACCTATTTACCATTTGAATTATTTTATGTACCCTATGCCATAATAACAATTCTTAGGACATATTCATTGTGCGAGAATGTTCTTAAATATAGATTTCTGACCAGTAAAGGGTTGGGGCAGCAGATGACCAGTGCAAGAAAATCCCCTTTTAGATAGTAATCATTGAATTTCCTACTCATGCTTTTCTTTTGGAGCTGCTTATGTGAGGTCCACTGTACAGTTCCACTTTAGCACGACACCCATGAATTCACAATCCAAAACTGCATTTGAGGCCTGTTCATTATTGTCCGTTTTATGAATTTTAGTACTATGAAATTTGGCAGGAAATCAGCCTCTGTAATTCAACAGTTTACCATTGACCTTCAACAGCACAATTTGGTGGACTCTTGAGCACAAAAAAAGGGCTTGGAGATTCCTGCATCCTCACTCTATATTGTTCCCTTTTGGCTCAGTGCAGTGTTTGAACCCAGCTACTGTGACTTCCTGGGTGAGCTATGCTGCTTCTGTGGACAGCATGGGAAAAATCTGTCTACTAACCTCTTTGGGAGCTTGCAAAAAAGAACAGAATTATGTTCTTCCACGTAGCTATGGGAAAGATGAAGCCGTTTGTCCCCATCTAGTCCATTTCTGGATTGGCCACTAGATTTTCTTTTCTCGCTAGAAGTGCAGAAAGCTGGCGAATGATGAAAACAGGTTTGTCCCATTTTGTTCAGCCTCTTTACTGGTGTTCATTTCTATGCACAACTTCTTGACATCGGCAATGTATTGGGTTTAAGGCAGCTTCATTTTCCCCATCCGTCCGAAAGCCGTTTCTCTGCTTTTATTCCTGTCTTTCTTTTTCCTTGCCAGGATTCTGTTAAGCATGGAGCCCCCATTGCCGGATGAGGCTCAAGAGAAACTTCTCTTCCTCACTTCTATTTACACCCAAGAAGATGGCTCCCTTCCCAGTTCTGGCACAACTCTGGACTTTTGCAAGCAGCCCATTTACACTGTGGAGAGCTTACTGAAGCTCAACACTGCTGCCCACAGATTCTTGAAGAGAGCAGGGAGGCAAGAGATGTTGCCAGGAAGGGTTAAAGGGGAAGGTTTGGCTGAGGAGGAGGAGGAAGAAGAGATGGACATTCAGTCCCCGTCACAGCAAGAACCTCTCTTCCTGGAGGACCCAGTGGCTTTGGCTGAAAAACGGAAAGCTCTTCAGGGTGTAGTCTGGCAGGTCAGCTCAGGTAAAACCTAGCTTCTAATTGGTTGGAGCTGGCAAATTTGGCACATTCAAAGCAAGAAGTAGGCCTGAGCCTTGCACACTTTATCTCTGAAGGTCTCTGACTCTATGGTTCGAGTGAGTGGAACTGGAGGAAGAAAAGGGCAGAGAGGGATAGAACATAGAGCTTAGATAGACTAAGCCCCATAATCATTGCCTTTGCTTAATGGGGATGCTTGGAAGTACCCCTTTAATAGCACCTTTGTATAGTCTAGAGGAATAGACCACATGTCTTTTAGGCTTGATCCCTGGAATCTCCAAGTGGGGCTTGGAACCTCCCTAAAACCTTGGAGATCTGCTGCTCAAGAAAAATGAAGGAGGAGGCCTTTGAATATTGCTCAACTCACACCATAAGTCACCATTATTAGTTGAGATGACCGAAGCCGGGGGTAGATCATAACCAGTGTGAAGTAAATGGGAGAAGTGTTTCTACTCTGTCCTTCAGTTTCCCATGTGCATTCTCAGAAGGTAAAGTAACATGGGTGATTAAGTTATAATCTCCTTTCCTTCTTCCCAGTTAGGATGGGCTAGCTATAACAAGGAATGAGACCCTTCCCATCATCTAAGATATCCAAGCTGCTATTGGACAAAGGGAGTTTGGAGATAGGCCACTGATGATTTCCCATTGCCATAATATCTCTTAGGCAATTAGACATTTAAGTTTCCTGGGTGATTGAACAGCCTGTTGTTTTCTGATGATCACACATATCATGCTTCTAAAAATCTGCTCTCAGTTCAGCCCACCCCCAACCAGGTTACTTGTACCTTGTAGGACCTCCTGTCTCCACTTGTCTCTTCTTGTTCCATATGATCCAGCAGAGTTGGCATGCTTTGGATCCCTCTCACAAAATAGTCATCTAGTGGGATCCAAGGGGCATGGCTTCTCTGTTGCAGCGCCTGCTATGTGGAACGACACGTTCGGATGGCCATGACTCTTCTGTCCTTCCACGCTGAGCCAGACCGTGGGATAAGCCTATGTAGGATATAAGACCCTTAAATGAGATGTGTGTTGGTTGGCCTCAGTTGCTTCAGTTGTTGTTATTGTTATTCCTGTTAGTCTGCTATCCTGCTGTTTTTTATGTTCCAGTGATCTATTCTATTTTTTAATTAATTATTTTCAAGTTTTTTTCAAATTGTAAGTCATCTGGAGTCACTCTTGCAAATTGGGTGGCCATGACAATCATCTTCTCTCTCCCTCTCTTCACCCCCACCACAAAAAAAATTCTTATGTATGGCTATGCTTTAAGTAATTACTGTAGTCACAGTAGTGGAAGGGAATGTATTTTTTTAATAGTAATTTTATTAAAAATTACAAATACAATAAAAACTAATACAAACTAAAAGAAAAAAAAGAAAAAAATAGAAGGCGGAGGAAAAAATAGAAAAAGAAAAAAGTAAGAATATAGTAAAGGAAAAAAAAGAAATATATAAAGAAGTGATCATCACAATAAGTATAAACAATTTTAGTAATTTACCACCTTCTCTTAAAATACAAGAAATTATCTCTTCTTCCCATATCTCATCTCTTATCTATAAACAAATCCTTAAAGCCTTGTCATTCAGTCTTGATCAGCAAAAGTCCATTATGGATTACCAGATATTTTTATTTATTTATTTAGCAGACTTGTCCCTGGCCATCTCCCCCCAATGGGGGATTCTGGGCGGTTTACAACAATTAAAAAAATAAATACATAATTAAAATGAATAAAAAGAGAAAAACAAATTTACCCAAAATGGAAGGAGGAGAAAAAATCCAAGAGGCCAAGAGATAACAATATATTTATTCTAACCTTGATCAGATAAACCAACTTTATATTCCTTCCTTTTACTTTTAACAATATTGATCTGTAGTCCCTTCAAATAATGTTCTAGAACTTGATTTCTTTTAAAAAAAAAATTTGTCCCTTCTCACAAAGTTCTTCAAAGCTTTAACAGGCCTCTTTTGTAAATCCAGTATAGGAAGATTATCCAGGTCACTGTTTTGGTTTGTTATTTGTATATCCCTTTTAATTATTAAGACATCAGCTGGTTTCTTTTGATTACCCAGCGTAGCATCTTTTTCCATATCATTCTTGTAACCTGTCATTTGTAAATCCACTTTCAAGTCAGTCTCAGTCTTGTTCAGTAAAACTTGTTCCTCTTCCATAGCATCTTTTAAACATAGACTATCTATAGAGGCAGGCATTCTTAATATTAACTTCTGGGTCCATTGTTCAAAAATATCAGTATGTCCAATGTTACAATATTTTGCTTCATTCTGTATTAGTAAGTCAAATTTAAGTGTTCTTCTCCTTTAATTGTAATCTTTAGTGCCTTCTACTTCCCTTCTAGTGTCTCCCATCCTATCATTTTTTTTTAAGAATTCAAAACAAAAGCATTTTCCCAAAGGAAGGATTCTTATAATTAATTCCAAAATCGCATTTCAAATCCATCTGGACCTTTAGTCCATTTGTAACTTTCCAAAATCAAAGTTCAAATCACCCTTTAGCTATTTATTCCCCCCCCCCCCCCAATTTTAAGTCCTTAAACTTGTATTTAAAACTTTTTCTGCCAAGGATTGAAGAAAACTCACCCAGTGCTGTAAAACTTGTTGATCCAAAGGTTCCTAATAGCTGAATGGCAGTTAACTCAAAGTTCAAATCACCCTTTAGCTATTTATTCCCCCCCCCCCCCCAATTTTAAGTCCTTAAACTTGTATTTAAAACTTTTTCTGCCAAGGATTGAAGAAAACTCACCCAGTGCTGTAAAACTTGTTGATCCAAAGGTTCCTAATAGCTGAATGGCAGTTAACAAGCAATTTGCGAAAGTCATTAGAAAAGGAAGTATGTGAACTCAGTGTCCTTAAAGGCACCAACCATGGTTTGAGCAAGATGGCTATTCCCTCATCTCCCAGAGCTCTAAACCTGTCGGAGACTGCTGTCTTGTGGTCTCCTTGCGAGGAGCAACTGTCTGGAGCACTTGTGGGTGATCTCAAATTCTCTCCTTGTCCAGAGAGAAATTATGAAGAGCTAGTCTACTTGCATGCTCTTCATTCTGCTGTGATTGTTGACTCTGTTTTTCATGGAGCCATCTTCAGTTCACCATTTCTTCCCCAGAAGTCCTACTAGTGGAGGGGAATGTAGACCACTCACCATCTGAATGTGTCTTTAGCCAATTCTGAAGGGTTTCCTTTGATGCATCAGGATCAGCAGCTGGGTCACAGCCAATCTCAAGAAGTGTGGCTAGAGCAACACTGCAACCATACACATCTTTAATAAAAATTCATAATGTTTGGTTTCAAGGTGGAACCATTTCTGAAAGAGCTGAAAACTAAGGTGCCCTAAAGCACTCTTCCCCAACTTCCAGAGGTATCAAAGTATGTTCTCTCTCCATCACTGGCTATGCTGTGAAATACTTGATCTAAGGTCTATCCATTTAATTTTTTTTCCTACAGATGAACTGAAATGGAGAAATTTTCCCCTGGGAAAACTGCCTGGCCAAACAGATGATCCTGATACCCTGCTAGTGGATAACTATACTATGATGTCGGCTCTTGACCAGCTGGAGAACGGAGACAGGAAAAGTACCCCCAACAGTGGGTGAGTATTGCACTAGAGATTGGGGGAATTTCCATTGTCAGTGAATGCTTAAAGTTACCTCTTGGACAAGGAAGAGTGTAATGATATGTGGGAAAAACCTTGGGAGATGGGGCGAAGTGAACAGTCAGATAAGAGACAGCATAGCCCACAGCTGGATAGTGGGTGGGGCAAGAGGCTCAGAAGGGGCCCTCCCTAGCTTCTCAGGCTTGACCTCAACAGATTCACCACTTCTGTACTTCAAACATGAGGTCCTGTGCTGCAGTTAGCTTAAAGATCAAAACCAGTTCTCAAGGCAGTAGGTGCAAAACTAATCTTAAAATCAACCTGTTTTCATCTTTGGCAATTAGGAGGGAGGGCCTCTGTTAGGGTTGTATCTGCTTCAGCTTTATTCTGTACCATCTACAAAGACATTTGTAGTTAATTCTTTTTTTTTTTTTTTTACCCAAAAGCCTTATTTGCTAGGTTTTTGCAAAAATTTGATACTCTCCATCAATTCAGATCAATTCAGTTTGATACATCAATTCAAACATCTGAATGGATACTTATGTTTTAATGGTCTGAATGGATTTGAATCAGTTTGGACATCTAAATTGGATTGGGTTGTTTTTTTGAATTGATTTGGATGTTCCAGTTGGATATGATGAAACAATCAGATCAGACCCAATTCACTCAACCCTGTTCTCCGTATTCATACTCAGTCCTCCTGTTTGATTAGATGTGTTAAGAGCCAGCCATCATTCACAGTACTGCAGCTTCCCTGCCACTCTAAATGCCAGACCAAGTGCCAGACCATGTCTGAGTTTAAACACTCATCTTCTATCAAGTATTGACTTAATCACATGTGCTCAGGAGGTTCCTTAAGTCCCTCTGGTTTCTTTTTGCCTATTTGTGTTAGAAGCCTTATTTTCTCTGACTCCTGTATCTCTGCACAAATAGTGCCTTCTGTGTAACTTTAGTCTGAGTTCAAGATGTATCTTCTCTTTATTAATATACTGATAGTTGATGCCTAATCTGAAAGCAGGATTTCTCCTTAGATCATTAATTTTAGCAGCCAAGCACCATCCTCTGGTCTGCCCAAGAGCACGGCATGCATTTTTATAAATTGGGCTTCATATGTCAATTTTTGAGGGTTGTTCTTTAATAAAGTTTGATTTTGTTTCTCTTGTGAAGGCTAGTCACTAGACACATACCTTTATGCTAAAAAGCTAACAGATTGCATTGTTGACATTATTTCATTTTCCCCCTTTTCCCATTTTATTTGTCAGAAGGAAGCAACGTAATGGAAGCCCTGTCTCTCAGACTGGAGGATTCCTAGTGTAATAATAATCAGGCAGCTACACCAGGGCAGGGGCAGGGACAGGGTGTGTTGACCCAGTGGGTGTCTGGGGAAGGTTTGAAACCTCCAGCCTTGCACCACTACAGGATGTTTGATCAATAAGATTTTCGTACTTGGTAGCAGCCTTTGTTCTGATGTTTTTGCCTGCCCCAGATATTATGGCCTTGACCCAAAACCACGAACAATTCCTGAGATCCCCAAAAATATTTTCTTAGACTGTCATCTTTAATGTGACTAAAGGGGAAAATTACACCGGTATGCATAGAACTATAGAGCAACTATTAGACAATTAGGTTTTAATATGGTGAAATATATAATCTAAATACAAATGTAGATCAGATTTGGGTTGTGTCCTGTCTTTAAGCACTACTTTTTGGGGAGCGATTCTTGGTGCGCTTCCCGCAACCCAAGTGAGTCTATTGCTAAGAAAAAGTTGAATCCCTGGCCTTGATCTTAGTCCGCAACCTGTCATTTCCTTGCATAGAGTCCAGCCAGCTCTTTGGAGAATGTTGGGGTCTGGAGTAGAAGACTATAATTTTTTATTTTTGCAGTTTGTAGTGAATACTTTAGCAGGGTGGCTTCCAGTTGTCCATTTCAGCAGTAGTTGCAGACTTGCATAATTCCGTCATCAGAAACTAATATTGGCTGTCACAACTATGACAACTGTGACCAGTTATATCCACTCCTGCTTTTCTTGTGCAACTGTTAAAACTCATTAGTTGTGGTTAAGTATAGGAGGGAGATGTAGAAAGTTTCCCATGCAGTCACACGGTATTTTTCTCATGTAGTTGTGGTTGTCCCAAATGAATTTTGGATGGCAACTCAAGATTGGATTGTGCCGTTTGATGTATTGTATCTGTATAATTAATCAGGATGAACCCATTCCTTGTAGGGTAGACGTAGGGAATCTTCTATCAAGGATTTATGGAGAAGGGACACTTTGCACATCCGTTAGATCAAAGTTGTGGGTATACATGTTATTTTAAAGCTGCTGGCTGCCCGCCTGTCCGCCACAGGCATAATATTCAGTCAGCAGAGTGCACGTTGTCATGAATCACTGGTATTATTATTTTGGGACATATTATATTTGCTGCAGGTGCTGTGGCAACAATAGAGCTAGAACCCTAATTCTGGATTGTCAGATCTCTGATTCAGAACTCACCTGGTTGATCAGTTTGCTTTGTGGCTGAAAGAAGCTGTGAAGTGTCTCCTGTCTGATAACTGTAACCTATTTTACAGGGTTTTAATACAGTGGGGAAAAAAAGTATTTAGTCAGCCACCAATTGTGCAGGTTCTCCCACTTAAAAAGACGAGAGAGGCCTGTAATTTTCATCATACA